TGCATGGAATTTATTTTTTTCTTCTTCCGTATCTCAGGTGTTGATATAACCCAAGAGAATGGTGGACCATCTAGTCAGGTGAAATCTCTGAAAGGTCAGTCAAAACAGAAAACGAAGAAGCGTCATGGGTACGATTCTGAAACTTACATTTATCAGTTCCATCTGATGCAACTTACATGTATGAGTCTCTCTGAATTGCACAGCTTAACAAAATTTTCACCTTTATGTTCATGGTTAGATGATAATGGAACTGCTGGAGTTACTTTGTTGCAATGGAAGTTTCAGGATATAGGATATTCTTAAAACGTGATGGTAGAAGGAAATTGCTGGTTTAGCTACCAAAAACCAATTGATTGTGGTTAATACTTTAACACAAATCCAGCAGTATCTGTTGTGAAGTCTTGCATTGGCATTTGTGTGGGCGTTTCTCTTTGTTTCTTATAATGTTTTTTGAGCATATAACTTCCAAAATGGTATGCTGATTGAAGTGTCTCATTTTTTTGCAGAAGGCGCCATAAATCTGATTGTTTATGTGCAATATGTGTTTTAAAGCGCCGTAGAAAAGAGCGCGAAGAGATTGCTAAAATTACTAAAGACCAAATTGGAGCTGGTAATAACCAAGGGCAAGAGTTTAAGATTGAGGTGACTTTTAGTGCTTACGAATTTATTCAACCTTTCTTGATGTGAAGGAAAACAGGAAGTGTGTTATTTTTCCCAATGCAGTCTTAGAAAAAGAAGAATATACAGTGGAAAATAGAGAAGTACAACAACTATTTATTATAGTAATATTCAAAATCAAATAATAGTTTCATATGGTCCTTTTCCCTTTGAAGATTCCAGTATACGTACAACATTACTAGATGGGTGGGTTTGAGGTAGGATATGTTGTTTCCATTTCTGTTTTAGGTGGTACTTTGTATATGTGGTTATTTTTGCAGAAGCGAATCTAGATTTGGTATCCTTTTTGTTGAGATCACAACAGGGGTTGAAAAGATATATCATATATCCAAGTATATTGGCATCTATCTAGCGATTGCACTGTCAGTATTTAGCAAAAAATTTGATATTGATATTAATGATGCTTGAGCTGCCAAAAATGTCGGATCCACATTTATTGCTGATTGATTACTTTCTGTTTAATTGCAACTGTTTATTTTTTTATCCCTTTGTCAGTCTTTATATCAGGATATTGAATGAATCTCTCATGCTCCATCTGTTTTTTGGGTTAAGGAATCCTTGCGTGTGGACAGTCCTGGCAGCTTGGACTCATCATCAAACGCAGATGATTCAGTAGACAATGAATTAGATGTTGAGGAAGAAACAGGAGACGAGGTGAAAATGGATGTTTCTAAGCAACAGTTTAGCACTCCAGAGGAGAAGCAAGATGAAGGTGAGGAGGAAAAAGATGGAGAAGGAAATGAAACAGAGATGAAGATGGGTGTCGATTCAAAAGGAACTGATCAGTCTGAAAGTAGACCATCCAAATCAACAATGGAGCAATCAGGTGACTCGAAAATGGAGGATGTACTGCCACATGAAGAAGGGCAGCAAGATATTCATGAGTTGGAACATAAGGTATTTTGCCTTCTTTATGTTGGTTGCATAATGACCCATCAAACCGTTGTTTAACTAGGAAAGAAAAGCTTGTTATGTTCCTTTCAGAAATTGGTTGTCTTATTTTATTGATAGTGAACACAGTAACTTCCATTAGACAAAAACAAAGGGAGAGAGAGACCAAGCCAAAGACGTTGGATTACCATAAGTTGTCTCAAATCCCAAATGTCCTATATTTGAAAACTAGAGTTTATAGTTTCTATCCGACTATCCAAGTACAAAAAGAAGGCATGCAGCCTCTCGATTGTAGAGTTGTTAAAATGTTTAGAAGATAAGCTTGGTTTGCATCCATGAAATTGTACAAGACTTTGACGGCACTGACTGTTGCAATGTTTTAATGGCAGGAGGTGGAAGAAAGACGGAAGAAGAAACTAAAGGCATGGGAGGAGTTGAGTAACAAAAATCCGATGCTTTTGGAGTTGTGTGGAGTTGTTTTCCCAGTGAATCCAAGATCCGTGTGGAGAGGACCCCATTCATTGCTTCCGCACCAGCACCAAACTTCTCGCATTAGTTCCATTCACATGGCCATAGACAAATTCATGAAGTAAATTATTGTATCACTCGATGAGAGCATGCCTAAAATTATACTTGATATGGTGTAGCTGTAATTGCCCCGATTTTCTGCCTGGAAATGTATCATCAACTAGTTCATGGTTTTTACCGAGTTATATTTTAACCACACATACTACAGGGGAAGAGAGAAAGTAGTTTTGGATGAATTGGAAGAAAGAAAGCTCATATTGTGTAACATAAATTAATCGGTAGTGATAAGGAAAAATTGTAAGGAATGGAATCCAAAAAAGGATCATGCTTGCGGTGTCAAGTCGTATTTGACATGACCCAGGTAGAGTCCGCATGCAGGAGCCATTGGACTCGCTGAACTCACATTCTTCGCCTCTAAGATTCTTTCTACTGCCAAAAAACGTAAACTATAACAATATTAGCCTACCCCAACTGCCAATGTTCTGTTGTTTATTTGGAATAGAAAAAGAAGTAGAATTATATATAATGAGTTGCTGTCCTACCATCTCCTACTGTTAGATCACCAGTGCCAACCGCTTTAAGAACTCCAACCATCAGTCTCAAGCTCATAAATCTTACAAACAATGAGCCACTTTTTGTTAAGTTTACCTACCTGATGATAGAGAAAGGAGTGTGCTCGTGCTGTCACCGCAAAACAACGATGCCTTTTTCTGATGCCAAATCCAACATCACCTGTTTCACCCTTATTCCCATCAACAATAAAAGACGGGTTATCACGCACTTCACTCTCAATATCTTCTCTGTCTTTGCTTCGTTTTCGTTCCATTAGTGGTGGGAAATTAGGTCTCGAAACCACCTTACAAACGTCTAGTTCATCAAGAGTTCTGGTCGGCGAGTTTGCCTGCACTGTACATCACTTTTATTAACAAGCATTGCCATTGTTAAGCAAAATTTATAACAAGCTGCCTGCAGAAGAAAGACCATAGGATCATAAATACATTTAGTGTTAAGTGACCTGACAACCAGTTGCCCTGAAGGAGCTAAAATCATGATGCCCAACAAGCACTTTGCATGCCTCCTGAATTCATGCATACAAATAATGTTGCATCAGTTCCAGAATTTAATTACAAAAATACATCCTGTCCAGCATTGTGTTGCTATTTGTTTATACGTGCATGGCCCCGATATTTAGTGTCTCGGGCACGTGCCACGCCCGATCCTTCTCAAAGCATGACAAAGCTTCTGGCCCAGAAACTAATCTATAAAAGTAGCTGAAAATATTGCACGAGATATAAAAACACATTACAACACCTATCACATTCAATACTACTAATTCTAAAAATTGTTTTATAAAGCTATGGCCTCCGTAACTGATTATACAATCTAATATGCGACAACAGTATCAGCCCAAGCACAGATGAACAATACTCACGTACGCTCTTGAGCTTTATATCTAGCATGAAAATCATTAGGAACACTTCGAACATCAACTACCGTAACATCACCTTCATGTTTCTGAAATCAAAATCAACACATATATCCTCATTTTCTTCGTCATATGATAAAAACAAAGTAAGACTCAAGCTGGAAAAACAAAGTTCTCTCTCAGGTGCTTGCTCATCTATAGCCCTCGGACTATAGTAATGATAAAAGGGAAGAACTCTCCTTTTCACTGTTCTAACGTGCTTGAAAATTTAAAAAGGAAGATAATATTTACAAATTGGAAAGACCAAATTTAAAAAGACTATTTCACGTAGCCTCGTTGAATTTAAACTGAAGCACAAGATCAAAATGAAAAAATCGAGAGAAGCAGCAGTAGCTCAAAAATGTGATTTGCCCGAGGAAAACCAAACCTGTAAGAAATGATTCACGGCCCTACGAACCACTCGAGGTTCATGAGGTGGTAACTGCATAATAGTTGGGAAAAAGTAATAAGCATTTTTGCAGGAAAGTGAGCAGCATTTCAAACTTGTATCATTATATGTTTTCGAGGATAAGAAAATTTAACCTCAACACTAAGGTCAACGAGTAAACTAATTTTTTTAGGGAAGAATTAATCCTAGTTGAGCCTACATCATAAGTGTACATATGAGAGGGGGTCGGAGGGATGCTGAAAATTTATTATAATGGGACAAACCACTTCTCCAGGCTTTCTTTTGCTTATGCGCTCAACATCAAAGTGACAGACATTTGATAAGGCATGGACTCCAGCATCCTTGATTGATAAAAGAAGGAAGGTCATGACATTAATGGATTACCTAATATACTTGTGTTAGCAAGAAATGTAAACAGAGAGTTCAAAGAAAGCAAAAAAGTATAGTAATACACTTGGTCTTAACAACTACAATAGTAGATGAATATGATGCAGGTCGCAGTTCAGAACTATAATAGTAGATAAAAATATCAGAATTCTCTTTTGCTAGAAACCAGATATTTGCTAGAAACCCAATGTAGCAAACAAGCAGTTCAGTCACGGAGTCCCTTCTACTATGCACACATCATAACAGACAAATAGGAAGCAAGTTCCACTACAGTCGCAGTCTGCTGTGCAGAAGCCATAGAAAACACTTATCCTAAAATAACTCGATGAATTTGTTTTAAAATCCAATGTCGGACAATGAAGGGAAGTCCATGTATCTCAAATCAACATAAGTCCCAGAATTTAACCATTGGAAAGCCAATAGTCAAACTACCAGTTCAATTACACATCCTTCTCTGCACATATCAGAGCTAGTGAGAGGAAAACTATCAGAATACTGAATAACCACAACATAAAAGTCGTGGAACCTTGGGAGAGAATGCCTTCGAAATGCTTTTCTATTTAAAGGAGATTCTATCATCATCTGGTTTAATATTATCCTACGAGTACGCTAAGCAAACTAATAACAGCCATAAAATTTATTTATATATGGAAAAAAGAAAAGAAGATAAACTTACAGTTCTGCTAGAACAAAATACTAAAACTGATTGACCGATAAATTTCTGAAACGCTTCCTGTCAGGTGAAAGGCATTCAGAAATTGTGTAGTGCAAGAGATCGATCCATTGTTAAAAAAAATATAAATCGTTTTTATGAAGACAAAGGCAGAGATAGAACTTGAACTTAAAAGTCCATGGCATCAACGTGACTTGGACCCGATACAAAAGTTTCAAACAGTAAAGATCCCTTCCTAAATGTTACTTGATGCAACATATCAGTATAGATATTTCATATTCCTCGCCAATGATTACTAAAAAATGGTAAATTTCTATCTTCCTGTTGGTCTTCGGGTACGTTGCAATTGCCCAAAACATCTAAGCCAGGTAAAGAGGGCGCAAAGTGTCGTGAAAGAAGGCAAAATGAAGCCCTTTCTCAATGATATGACACAGAAAAATTGTGAGGCCCATTTCAAAGTGATTCCTTGGTTAAGAAAGATAGGCATGGGCAGTGTAAAGAAAAATGGGGAAGGACCTGAAGCACGCCAACCACCGTACGGCAATTGGGCTGCTGCTGAGAGCCATAAAAGCGAGTTCCTATATATTCGACTGCGACAAGGTAGCGTTGGATTCCATGGTTATGGTTCATGGCTTCTGCTTCCTCCTTGTCGCCGGCGAGAACTTGGTCGGTGGTCTTTCCCATCTTCAATGGCCTTTGAGGTGATGAGTCGGAACTAATTTCTAGCCTGTGCTTCAGGTTTTCCGTCATTGATTTTCTTCACAGCCGGTCAAGATTATCTGGTATGTGCCAAGAGTTGAGAAAAAGAGAGGATGCTATACTATATACTATATGGGCTGAATCATCAATGCTGGGTTACTCTCAGTCTCTCAAATCTTCACCTGTCGCATTTAATTTCAATTCTTTTCTCAAATTTGAAGTTGTAATATTTGATATCAGTTTACTTGGTCTAGTTTATACTTTTTGCATCACGTTTAAGGCTATATTTGCTAGTACTCAAAAAAAAAATTTTAAAAAAAAGAGGCTATATTTGCTATTCTTTTGATAATTATACGATGAATTTAGTTGAATGGTTGTTGGAGTCAGGGTTTAGTTATTTCCGAATGTGATGGTATTGCTAATTTTCGAGGAAAAAAAAATGAAGAGTATTAATTTCAACTTATGAATGGAGTTTCTAGTTTTTTGATGTGGCGAATTTTACTAGTAGACTAAAAGTAGTGAGCAAAAATAAAAGTCAAACTCATGCAAATGTTCCCATAATTTTGGCCTTTGCATTATTTCCTTATCATAATTCGAGCATGATTTCGTTTGAGGAATAAGACAGAGACCAAAATGAGAGTCTGCATAATCTACTGGGCACGATCTCACTTTGCAATTTCTCAATAAATTATGCAAGGTAGGAGGGATTTTGATAGGCCTAGGGGGCACAGGTTCCTGAATTTTATAATATATTTTATTGGTTAGATTTTTTAATAATTTTCTCTCTGGCTTAGTAGCTTGAGTATTCTTTATGCCCCTAGCTGCTACAATTTGAATCATGCATTCTCACCATGGTGAGAATCAAACTTAGGCCACGAGGGAGAAAGTGTATGTTCAAGTCACCAAACCAGGAATAATTTTATTTAAGAATACAACAAATAATGTATATATTACAAACTTAAAGGCTTAGAGCTTTGATCGTTTTGACTGTCGACCTGTTGAATGCATTTTACTTTAGACTGAGCGACGTGTCGTCCATCGTCTTGACATGTTCGCTGCGTTCACGTGCTACTGCTTCTGAAAGAAACGTGTGGGCTTGGGCTTCAATTCGGTTAATGTTTTAGAAGCCCAACGCCGTCTACAAAAAAGCCCGGCCCAATTATGTTGTGTAAGAAAACCCTAATCCCTTCCAATCCCTACTCGACAGCAGCCAATCGTAGCCGTCGAGCGATTGGGTATCCTTTATAAAACCCCGCCAACCCATATTCCTAGCCTCAAGCGTTGGCGACGGCGAGGCATTTTCACTGCTCTATTTCCAGTTCCAGGTACATTACTTTCATTACTTTCATTACTTAGATCAGTCAGTGGCCTCGGAGTTTACGCGATCACTCGATTTACTTCTGCCAAACTTTATTCCTTCCATCTCTAACCTCTACTTGCAGGATCTTTTATCTTCTTTATGGATTTCCCACGGCGCCAGATCCGTGGAATTGGTCTCTAACTTTGTGAATTTTAATTTTAAATGTATCGTAATTTTCGTTTTTCTTTTTTTATTTATTGACGACTGTTGTTCCATTTCATGTTTATCCTGTAAATTCCAATATTCCAAACGACACCAAAAATGGCTTCCCCATAAGAAACTACTAGTAATCAGGGGCTGGAGTCTAGAACGGGCTCTTTCACCAAAGACCGTAGATGGGTTTTTTGGATTGAAACACAAATGAGCCTGAGTTTTGGCATTACCTAGTGCCATAGGCCTCTGGTTGGGGGTTATTTTGGTGTCTGCTGGAGCTTGGAACTAGGGTAACATTGAACTTGGACCCTGTTCGTTTTGCCTCTCTTTCCAATTATCGGGTACAATTCATTTTTTTAAAGAGATCATATTATTCTGCTTAAGATACTTATTGTCGTTTGATTTTACATCTACTCATAGGAGCTTTTTCCTTCATCCTGGTGTCAAAATGAAAATCTGTGTTTTTGGCCTTATGTTTCATTCTAATTAATGAAAGTTCTCAACAGAACCTTTAACCCACGGTTATTTCTTGTTTATCTTCTATATGCTTTTGTTATTATTAGAAACGTTCTGTTTTCAGTTCATGCTGGTCGCTAACTATGACTTTGCAGTCATCTTCTATTTGTAGGTTTCTAATTTGTTGAAAAGTAAACAGAAACATTTGTTATATTTTATTATGGTGCACCTCTTAACTTTTGGCCCCTCTGAGATTCTGTTTGCTGGATCAATAAAATGCAATTGAAATTTGTGAGTTTTCAGTTATATTACAACAAAAAGTCAACATGTCTCACCGCAAGTTTGAGCACCCAAGACATGGCTCTCTGGGTTTTCTTCCCAGAAAGAGAGCTTCTCGCCATAGAGGAAAAGGTATCAACAATATTTTTTTGTTGAATCATATTTAGGTTTAATAGTTTGTATCATTGCTTCCTTAAATATAAATAAAAAACGCTTCTTGCCTGGATGTATCAGTTGTAGGTAAGCATTCGGTCTTTAATATACATTAAAGTGATCATTTAAATGCTTTTTTATATTTCCCGTTACTGCTGTAAGTGGTTTTTTGCAACTGCAATTTGACGCCTAGCACTCTAGTCAACTGCACTCTAGTCAATTTGACGCCTTACCGTTGGTTCAATAATGTTTGTTCCTGTATGATTTTTATTTTTGTGTGTTGGAACCTAAATCCCTTGCTATTTTTCTTGTTTATGAGTTGTTGGTGTATGAAGATTCATCAGATATTCTTTGTTGTAAATCTAAATTAATGTTTTTAGTACAAGGTATGTAGTTTTTCGTTCAAGCTAATTTTATTATATATGTAATATGGGTGGGGATTTGTGTTTTGCAGTGAAGGCGTTTCCCAGAGACGATCCATCTAAGCCTTGTAGTTTAACTGCGTTCCTTGGATATAAGGCTGGGATGACCCATATTGTTAGAGAAGTTGAAAAGCCTGGATCAAGTGAGTCTGGTTCAAAGTTATTTAAATCTAACCTATTAAAATAATACCAGATGCAGTAAGCTACTAATCCAAATTGCACCTAGTTACGCAAATTCATTGAAAGCCATTATTGCATTCTGTTGCTATATTTAGTAATTTTGTTTCTACATCCATGTTACCATTGGATTATTAATAATATCCCATAAACTAAATGGTTATATCTTGTCGTATGATTATTTCAGAGCTACACAAGAAAGAAACATGTGAAGCTGTAACAATTATAGAAACGCCACCTATGATTGTTATTGGTATTGTTGGCTATGTCAAAACGCCACGTGGCCTGCGTTCCTTGAAAACTGTCTGGGCTCAGCATTTGAGCGAGGAGGTAAAAAGGAGATTTTACAAGAACTGGTGCAAGTCTAAGAAGAAGGCTTTCACCAAGTACTCCAAGAAGTACGAAACTGAAGACGGGAAGAAGGATATTCAGGCACAGTTCGAGAAATTGAAGAAATACAGCACCGAGATTCGTGTTCTGGCCCATTCCCAAGTAATTTATGCTTCCCTCTCATTTTTATAAATTTTCCACGAAGAGCATCTCGTATACAGTAAGATGACGGCTATATCCCCTCCCATTGACTGTTTTAATCAACCTATTTTTTGAACTATGACAAATTTTTGTTCACATTTGATATTTATACTAGTTTTATATTCCCTATTTAATGAAAAGAATAAGGACATTTTTTCAGATAAGGAAAATGAAAGGACTGAAGCAGAAGAAAGCTCACCTGATGGAGATTAAGGTGAATGGTGGAGATGTTCCTAAGAAGGTTGATTATGCTTATAGTTTATTTGAGAAGCAGATCCCGGTTGATGCAATTTTCCAAAAGGATGAGATGATTGATATCATTGGTGTAACAAAAGGCAAGGGCTATGAAGGTGTGGTGACCCGTTGGGGTGTCACACGCCTCCCCCGCAAGACTCATCGTGGGCTTCGGAAAGTAGCGTGTATTGGAGCTTGGCATCCAGCCAGGGTATCGTTTACTGTTGCTCGAGCAGGACAAAATGGTTATCATCATCGAACAGAGCTGAACAAGAAAATATATAAGATTGGGAAGACCGGCCAAGACTCCTACTCTGCCATGACCGAATTTGATAGGCAAGTTAATCTTTGTCCTCCCCTGCTATGGCTGACTGTTGCATTAGGGGATTATTCTTGAATTTCTTTCTAGTGCGTGATATCCTATTGCTGATGTTTGTGGATATTTATATAGGACTGAGAAGGACATAACTCCAATTGGTGGATTCCCTCATTATGGTGTCGTCAAGGAGGATTACTTGATGATGAAGGGCTGTTGTGCTGGTCCAAAAAAGCGTGTGGTTACGCTGAGGCAGTCTCTGATTAAACAGACATCTAGGGTTGCTATGGAGGAAATCAAATTGAAGTTCATTGACACTTCCTCTAAGTTTGGGCATGGTCGGTTCCAGACAACACAGGAGAAAGCTAGGTTTTACGGACGTCTCAAGGCATAATCTGGCTGCTTTGTCTTCATCATTTTTGCATGTCTTGTTGATGTTTTATTTTAGTTTTATACCTTATGGATAAATGTTAATGTTCTTTTAGACTCTTGAGTATTTTTTTTGTTATGAATCTACTTAATTTTAATTCAAATTTTTAATTGTTGCCCAACGATCCAACCTACGGCCGCTGCAATGATCAGTGTTAGTAGCAAGCTCTGATCCAGGGTAATATTCCCAAAATTCGTTTTACAGACTTGATAGCCAAGCAACGTTTATTAAGGGATGATCAAATTAAAATTGAAAGTTATTATAGAGAGTCTAGAGACCATACCACATTCTTTTTAAAACCTAATGATAGATAGAGATGGCTATAGAAGGTTATCATTTGAATTTTGAGTAATTGGCAGGAGATGCATCTGCAAGAAAATGTTCTTGATTGGTATCTGCGATTGATCCTCAAATATAAATTCAAATCTTTCATTTCATTTCATTTCGTGATAGTGCAAGCATGGTTGACGCACGAGGAAGTTAAGCTGACATTACGACTAGAATTGTTAAGAAAGTAAACAAAGCAACCTAAAACGATTTGTTTTCAAGTTTACATATTATTTGAGAAAATATCCAGTTTTGCACATAACGTAAAACATACACAATCGTAATACTTTGTTACAAACCAAAATTAAATTAAATGAATAATGTTATTGATCGACGTTAGTTTTAGTTTGGATTATTTTAGAGCTTTTTTCTTAGGGGAGAACATAACAGCATTGGGAGTCCGGGACGGCTGTTCCGGTACTTTCTTTCGATTCTTAAAATCTTATTTTCTCCTACACAGGACAACGTAATAGATTTGATATTTTACTGAATCAAAAATCGGCGTACGGTCGGCTTATATATAATGCAACAAGTGATAAGTTGTAAATTCGGAAGTAACTAGGTGATTTTGTATGAATCTCTCCGGATGAACTCGTGTAGACCAGTTATCCATGAATCTCATAAAAATAAAAATCATGAAGTTGAAAATAAAAGAAAAGGTACTCGAGTACCGCAGGAGAGATTCAATTAATACAATGCCGTGCAAATAACTTTCACAACAAACTTCTATAACCATCATGGCCACACAGCAAAATTGGCGTCCAAAAAAGCAACAAATGTATCTCTCTTCGCACACAAACTTCTCCCTCGGTTCTGAACTCCACTCCAGATTCAAATCTTGATGTTGAAGTAATCGGGGTCAAAATGATGCAGTCTTACATATCCATCTTCACCTCCACTTGAAAAACTACAAGAAAACCACATCCATAAGCATCATCCAATAATATTTATCTAATCAATGGTTTGCTTTCACATTCAAGCAGTGCAATGCAATACACCATACCTCTTCCCATCAGGATTGAAAGCCAGAGCATTAATGGGTCCAAAATGACCTTTCACACCTCCGATCTCTTCTTGAAGGATCTATCGGACAAAAGAGAAATATCATACAACCGAATTGACTCAATTCTAAGGTCGGGGGAAAATGAGACAGGAGACCGCACCTTGTCATAAAATTTAGCTTCAAACTTTCCTGCACGATGATCAGTTGTTGTTACTGCTGAGGCATCCTGACCACCACCAAGTACCACCTGAAACCCAAAAAAACAAATATGAGCCAAAAGACCAATTAACAAGCATTATCAATAAAATAATATAGCATAAAAAAATCTACCCCTATCAATAACACCACCATCCACCAATCTCAAACTAAACACATATTATATCGGTCTCAGAAACAGAACTCGGGAGTGGTACATTAGGCAATTTATGTATACATACATGATCAAGAAGTGGAGACATTGCAACTGCATTGACTGGACGTTCTGTCACATATGTTTTGATAAGTGTCAACGTTCTAATATCCCACAGCTACATTTTACAAAAAAGGTTTTATATTAGACCACCAAAATATAAAAAAGATGATAATGAATTTTGATCTATTAGCCAGATAATGGAAATAATGGGGATAAAGAAGAATTAGAGCGCTGTACAGTACCCTTGCAGACTTGTCCAAGGATCCAGTGATAAAATGGGAACCATCAGAGGATTTTGTAAGGGAAGTTATTGTTTTCTTATGGCCCGTCTCCTTCTCTGATTCTTTTAGAAGTTTACCTGTCTGTAGTTCAATTAAACATTAAGTGGACAATAAGCTAGATTCACCAAAAAAACATAAAAAGATTTATTAATAAAATTAAAAGTCACAAACAATAACTAGTTAGATCATTTCATTTAAATTAAGTAACCCCATTAAATTAAGAAGCCCCACCTCTAGGCTTTTGAGACTTACACCTTAAGGATTGCCTCACCAAGCGGCTCCAACTTTAAGACACACCAAGGCTTAAAGTCATTATGGCCTCATGTAATGATTAAAATAATATTAATAATTTATCCAATTCTTCAGAAATATAAAAATTTCTTTGGGTATGGAATGCTAATACATGAATTGTAATAATTCAATCTATTACTGCTTTAACTAACCTACCCTTAAAAAACATTGAAGACAAAATTGTATAAAATAACTCAATCCTTATAAGTGATAATAGTATTGATGTTAATGATGTCTTTTAACTGGAAATTTAAAGGGGTGATTCTTTTTATAATTCCATATAATTATCATGTCTAGCTATACTTGATCCAAAAATTTAGAATTTGAATATATTTTTTTCTAATTAAAATTAAGGCTCATACATTAATTGATTAATAATGCATCTGTCAAAGAAGAGAGATACCATAGAACAGTGATTTTGTGCAAGAGACAATTTCTTTCCTAAGGAAATCTCTAGAAGCCAATTAGACAGAGAGAGACGATGTTCCCCATTTTGATTGTTGTAAAAGCCTAGAACCCCCCATGAGAAGCAAGGATACCACTTTCCTCCAAAGGGCAAGAGTGGAACCACCCATTTAAGGCTCTTCCAAAGAGAAGTTTCTTATAATCCTTCTGACAATTTATCTTCCTTGCTTTGGAAGGTAAAAGTGCAAATAAGACCACATTCTCTGCTCAGCACATCGTGCATGGGTAAGTCAATACCTTAGATCATTATTCAAAGCCAATCTTCCATCTTTTGTAGGACCTCAGTAGTGCTCCCTTCTTTTGTAGGACCTCAGTAGTGCTCCCTAATCAGAGGTGCATTTGAAAACCTTACTCATATCCTTAGGATCTATTAGTTGGCTCAGCTAATACAATTTCACTTCTTTGAGTCCTTTAGCATTTCTTTGGTGCATAGTACAGATTGTAAGACGATGCTAGAGGTGTTGTGTTGTATACTCCCTTTTAATATAATAGGGGAGTTATTTGTTAGTCTTGCTTCTCCACTATTTTGTAGGGTATTTGACTTGAGAGAAATATAGAGGTTTTAGAAGGGTTGATAATCCCAGGTGCGTCTGTTTCTATGGAACTTTTTACAATCATCAGTAAAGTGTTATTCTTTTGGATTCGGGCCCTCTCTACGCTTGGGTTCCTTTTGTCGAGTGCTTTATTTCTATTACATTGTATACTCTTTCATTTTCTCAATTAAAGCTTGGTTTATTATATAAAAGATGCTTCCAATGATTATCACTACTGTCATCAGCATCTTTAAAAGGAATATGTGATAGATAGGGAGGAATGAGATGATAGCTTCAATGGGGTGAATCTACCCCCTTGCAAAGATTTTCTAATCCTTTGATCATGCTTTAAGGAAATTATTTTAACTATCAAATGCCAAAGAAAGGCTTTTCAATGGTTGTTATTGAAAGGAAAGCAAAGGTAAAAAGAGGGCACTCCACAACAACGGAGCAAAAGGAACTTGAAGGAACTCTTTATCCATCATTTTATCAATTTCATGCATCAACTATCTTATCCATATATGAAAGTTGTATATCAAATGTAACTTTTTGACACATGTAATAATTTGAAGTATACTACCACAAGATAAATGAAAGAATGATTCATATTACAATCATGAAAGAAATTCCTTTTTATAGAATCTTGCATTCAAAAAATCAAGCATGTAATAAACAAATATCACTAGAAGCTCATAATTACTAATTTACGAAGATATATATAATAACTTAATACATAGTGAATGTAATATGAAAGATCTAGTGGCCAACATCAAACTACTATAAAAGATTAGTAGCCTAAAAAAATTAATATACTATTTGATAAGCACTCATTTATTGAAAGAACAAAAAACTTTATATACAGAATAAAAAATCATGTAAAACAATAACAGTGATGCTAAAAGACTATAGTAAGCTTACGTATTTCAAGTGGATATTAACACTAGATGTTCTAATCACAAACATTACCTCAGCATCCCAAATGCGAATAACAGCATCTTCTCCTGCACTTATAATGGTCTTATTTAGAGGCCCCCATACAGCTCTATTGATTCTTCCTTGGGGACCCTTGAGAACAAGCACAGAATCGCCAGTCTCTGCAGCACATCATAAATGTTTTAAACATATATCAATCTGTTAGAACCAAAAATAAAGCATCCATTTTAATCCCCTCTTAATTGGAAAGCAATTCTGTCTACATACTAAGCTAAAAACGGGCACTTAAAGCAAAGTAAACTAAGAATGTAAGTCTTTCAATGTTAGGGGTTGAAAGCAAGATCCGAAAGGAAAGAGCTTTGTACTCGAGGATGAGAAACCCATGAAATAGGTTGTATAGAGTTAAATGAATAGAGAAATATCCAATAAACATTTCTTTCAAAACTAGCTAGTAGCAGCCTAAGTCCAATAATTGTCATGTGGAATCAACACTAATAAAGCAGACACAAATTGTGCAGTATTACACAAAGTATATCATCTATCTGATCCTTGTATCTGAATGACTGAGACATTGCTTCTTCCTCAAACCTACTGTAAGTTTATTGTGTGTAAATATGAATGTTAAAAATATGTAAGAAGAAATTCCTTTTACTGAGCAATAAAACAGCTTGCAAGTTAACTGTAACAGGCTCCTCGTCCACCATCAATATTTGTTTCCTCAAAAAGGATAATGTAGATATAAAGAATATTTCATGAAGAATTGCAAACAGAACGTATTCCACGAAATCCCTTACAACGTGTATTATACCACTCAGTGCATGATTGACATGCCAAAATAATGTCACGACATTACACGCCTAGTATTAGAATTAATCCATAAAGAGAAAGAAAAATGCACCTCAAATTGAATGGCATTTTCAAATAAGAATGATAGAACATAGGAACCTGAGAGTGACGTTTATAAAAACCATTGGAAGACTAAAACAATGAAAGGAGAAACACGTCTTACGTTCCGAGGGGTCTCTGGCAATGCATTTAACATGTATAGCAGAAGGCAATTCCATGAAAGGATCAGTGGTAATCACTGCAAGCTTATCACCAACAGAGAAATCAACCGCCCTGGCAGGTGAGTCGAAATTGAAGGAGAAAAGCTGCTGTCCAGTTTGTACATTCCACAGTTTTGCCGTCTGATCAGCACTGCCCGTGATGAGCCGCATTGAATCTCCTGAAATTGATGTACGGCACACAAATGAACGAGCATAAGATAACAATAAGATTCAGAATAAAATCAGAATGTTTAGATTGATTGGTGCAAAAAAATTTAAGAACAGAAACGAAAGATCAACATACTGGCAGAATTTCTAATTTGTATTAAATTGTCCACTGACACTCAATACAAACTAAGTATCTCGAACGACGAAAGATACACAAAAAAAAAAAGTGTAAAGGAGTTTCTATAGTGTGAAGCCAGAATTAAAAAGAGAATCGTACTAGAAACATCGCAGCACCAAACGGCACCATTATGGCCGCGATAAGTCCCCAAGCGCTCGCCGTTATCGGCGAACCAGACGGTAGGGTTGTGGTCCTTGGCGCAGGAGAAGAGGAGGTCGCCATCCCTATTGTATTTGAGGAAAGTCAATGGCCGCTCATGGCCTTTCATCAAGATTGGGCGCATTTTCGTTTAAGCTCGAGGCTAGAAGTTGTTCGAAGAAGGGAAAGAGTGATGGTATCCGTCGTATGGAGAGAAGCAAATTCGCGTAGGTATAGAATAGCCTGATTGACCCACTTTGGATTCGGTTTCGTGCCCAAGTGCCGTTTCACGTCGGTAGGGCTGCCGCTGCCGCTGCTGCACACCAGGAAGACGGTGTTTTAGGGTTAGGGTTTTGTGGACTTGGGCTTGGCTCGGTATTTATTGGGCTGGTTCAGTTATCAGTGCCAGGAGTGTTAGAAAAACTGGACTAGATAAAAAAATCAATCAACCCAACTCAGTCTATCTGGTTTTGGTTGGATTATAAATTTATTTGGATTGAATCGGATTCAAATAAACGAGAACTCTGTGGATTTTTTTTACCGCATAAATAAACATTGACTTGCTGATCTTGATTTAAGGTTAGAAAATATGTAAATAAACGTTTAATATTTACTTTGTTATTTTTGTTATATAATATTTAGAAAATATGTAAATAAATGTTTAATATTTACTTTGTTATTTTTGTTATATAATATTTTGAACATGTGACCAGAATAATCCAAACGGACTCAACCCAAAAATTAAGATTGGTTAGGTCGTGTAATTAATTAATAAGAGTTGTTTGAGTTGAATATATTTACTATTGGAACAGAGTAGAACAGTGGAATTGACGTTGTTGTCGCAATGAACTTGATTTCATTACAAAAATGGTGAAAACAGTGCAACTCATAATCTCCAAATTTACCTAATTCTATTCAATCACGCGTCTCTTCAAGAAAAGAAACCTTTTGGAGTTGGCGGTCAAAAGCCAGCAAACAATCCGATCGCTTTGCAAACTCAATTCGTAGTCTGATAGAAGTCTTCAAGTTCAAGTACCAAAAAGATGTATCATAGTAGTAGATAAAATATCTTTCATAAAAAATAAGACCCACAAGGTTCTACCATAAGTCATAAACCAAATATATCAACCATTCCCCCTCCCCAAGGTCAACAAAATTACATGCCCACCAGTTACCAATTCGCAGACACACTCAAATCATTTCTCAATACCGGTGCCTGTTCCGGTGGTCCTTCTCCCTCCCATATTCTCTATCTCGTTCGTAATCATAGTCTCGATCACGGTCACGATCTCTTCCTCTATCCCTATCTCTGCTTCGACTCCGATGTCTTTCCCTGTTTTCTCTTTCTCTATTTCTGCTGCTGTCTCTGTCATCCCATTCCCTCCCTCGCTCCCTACTTCTCTCCCTTCTATCTTTCTCAATTACACCTGAAAAAGATAGTTTGCAAAACATCTAATTAGGTTGCTCAATTTCAACATAATATATTTTCAGCAAATCGGTCCAGTCATAATATTTCGGATTGATTTGCTCTGCAAATCGCAACATAGGTGATGAAGAATCTTTATCCATTATACTTCATTTTAATTTCTCAAAACATAACACGAAAATTCTCCCGGGAAAGTATAATATTTATTTAAACTGAAATGCACAAGCATAATTTCTCGCAAATCTTTTCAGGGTCAATAGCAGGGTGTTAACGAAGAGACACAAAAATTCTCCCAGGAAATTACAATCTTTATTTTAACTGAATTGTAAAAGCAGAATTTCTCCGAAATTTTTTCAGGGTCAATAGCATGGTGTTAATGAATAGACTCATCATACCTAGTTCCTCAACTTCCCATCCAGCCCGCCCAGCACCCGGTAGTATTCGACCAGCTTCCATCTGCTGGGATTTGGCACGAAACTTCTTCTTAAGATTTCCAAACTCATCATACATCTCACCGTCATCCTGACAATATAATTAAAAAATTGTCAAATCACAATCAGAAAACTGTTTGTCTCAAAATTATGGTTCACCATCTTACTTCTTCAGCTTCTCGTCGACGTCGTTTAGTCTCCTCCAATTCTTCTTCATCAAGTTCTTTGTAACCTCCACCACGCCCTCCTCTGTTCAATCATATTATCATAATTAAAAAATTAGAGAAGTTTATGTAGTAGGCTATTAGTATTAGTGTAAAAATCATTTCCTTTGTATGATCAGAGAGACCATGGTCAAAGAGTACAAGTTGATCCTACAGGTACAAATCCCATACTTTTGTGACAAAAAATGTAAAAAGGTCAAGTATAAGTTTGGATTTCCATTTTTCAAACCAGATTTCTAGATACACTAAAAAGATAATGGTCGTTATACTACTATGGACCACAAATTTGCTTCAAATCAAATTTATTAATCTCAAAAGTCGAATTCAAATCAATCTGTTAGAAATTCTAAAGTGAATCAGATAAAAGGTGCCAGTTCCCTTGGGAAATACACAAGTCTATTTACTATCAAAAGTGAAAGGTTGCCACCTTAAACTAAAAGAACTGCAAGCAATGTCATCAAATAAAAAGATCGTGTGCTTTTCAAAAGAATAAAAAATAAAAAGTGAATATTATACCTCACGCCACCCTCATTATGACCAGGTTTGTTTGTGTTACAAATATTGCATTTTGTGCGCTTTGCCCAATTGATGTTACCACACCTGAAACATAAAGCAGAAGGAAGAGCCCATATCAAGCAGTTGCACATGCCGAGTATAGATTCTCTGTATGTGATACAAGCAAGCAGTGTTATCCAAGCAGAGAATAGGTAACTACAAACAAACAATTAAATACAAGAGAACACTTCTCCCAGAACTTCAAAAATTAACTTTGTCGTTTATCCTCCAGATCTTCTTCAGAGATGTCTCCATTCCCCATTACAGTGATATTAAAAATGTGTTTTAGAAAAAAAAAAATCCCAAGAAACAATAAAGTAAAAGTAAAATACAAGATAACTTCACAGATTCAAATGTGCCAGTGTCATCCTCTTTATGCATATTTAATTCCTTAAAAAATAAACCAGCAGAAAAGAGTGGATCACTAGAGCATCAGAAGTCATGTATAGGTTTGTAACATATTACGAGATATGATCAGATTAAATGATAAAAAGAAACAAGGACCTCAATCAGTTCATGGAATCCACATAATTTACTAACATGTGAAAAAATGTTCAAAATATCCACAAAGATGTATTAAATCAATTTCCTTCTCTTTCGATTCTAAACCATACTATTTGATTTGGATGTGATTATATATTCTAACTAAATATAATCCACTTTGATCTGTATAGTTGTATTGAAAAAATTCATAACATACGAATGATAAAATTGCTGTAAAGGAAATGCACAGATTACTACGAGACCAAACCCAATGCAGCACAATATGTTAGAGAACTAGAAGAAGGGGAAAATTATATTTACATTGGACAAGGCCAATCATTTGGACCAAAGAGCCCAGTAGGGCCACCAACTGGACGACTATTGCCTCCTGAATCCTGGTTGCCACGGCCCCTGCCACGACCTATAGAGCCTGCACCACTGCCAGCAGCACCAGAAGGTCGAGCACTTCCACATCGATTGCACACACCACGAAATGCAAAATTAACATTGGAACAACTGTAAGGAGGATAGAGCATGAGAAGCCATTTAAACAGCAATAAGTAGACCATAGAAGCCAACCAAGATTGAAAGAAGCAAGAAGGAGCTGCTCACCAATATCACATCACAGACCTTGTATTTGGACACAGCCAATCTCCCTCTTGTTGCCATGCTTTTCCTGGAGTATCACCACGACCTCTTCCCCTTCCACTGCCCCCGTTCATACTCCCAGCATTCTCCTCAAAACCAAGAGAATCATCAACAACACTTGGATCACCCACCACATTATATGAGAGATCATCCTTGCTTTTAGACTCTGCTATATGAACTTCAATGATGTTACCATGAAAATCCTTGTTGTTAAACCATTCGACGGCCGCTAAGGCTGCATGTGGATCCTCGTATGTTACGGTTGCATCTCCTTTAGGCTCATTTGTTAATTTATCACGATACAGCCAGATCTTTGGTCTACCTGTTCGCTTGTCTTTCTATGAAAATTAAACAGGTAAAAATAAAGCCTGAACATTATTTGAGTAGAGGAAGGCATTTCGAGATAGACTGATAGAACCAAAAACAAATGCATCTAGAAAAAAGGTAATGTTTCGAAAAAATTGTGGTTAAATTCCAACCTTTAGCAACCCAATTGTACCAAAATATTCAGCAAGCATATTCTCGTCAGTCCCAAAGGGCAGGTTGCAGATGTAGATAGACCCATTTGAGGGGGCTCCTTTACCCGGATAGCTTGCCATTATTCACCAATTTTCATGAAATCAATATTAAGACCTACAAAAGGTGCGCCACTTTAGAATTGTGCAGCACAGTCCTCCAAAACAAAAGAAACTGCGTATACAAATTAAAAGAGCAACAGCAAACACGTGCGGGAGCCCACATGCCTTCCAAAAATACAGATCTCAAACGGAAAACAGATGAGAAAACAAAAATGGCAGCCGAAAAAAGTGAAGGAATGAGGACGATAAGATGAGAGAAAAAAGGCATTGGCGTTTTTCTGGACCGATGGAGGAAAAACTAGACAGTATCTCGTTTTACAATTAACAGGCCCTAAATCTTGAT